GTTAGGGCACTGTAGGGTGACTCCCGGGGTGGGCATCTTTGCCTAATTTGGGGTCAGGAAGCCTGATGGTGATGATCACCGGGGCTTTTGGCAATGGTTACAAAGGGGCTCAGTCGGCCAGAGGGGACCTGGGTTCTGAGCTCTGCTTCTGAGGCCTTGGTGCAAGGCTTTGCACCTGTGGCCTTGGGGCAGGACTCCATACATGCTTCATAGTTTTCTTTCTGGATATTTTTTGTTTTATGCTCTTTGATTGCTTTTACATATGTGAGAAGTTTGTAATATTTTCTACAGTGAAAGAAAAGAAATTTTATTTCTTATTATTGAGAGATTAGAAAATTTTCTCTCAACTTCACATTTAGTTTTTGGTAATGCTGTGTAAATTTTTAGGATTTCTATTAAATTTGAGAAAACCTTCCTCAAACTTCTGAAAATGGAAAACTAGGGACATTTCAAGTTTCCTTGTGCACCGACTCTTCATAAATACTCTGATGACCTGGGGAATTCCTTGTAGTCACTTTTACACCAGGACAGCTCACCATCATTTGGCTATGCACAGAAGCGACTGAGAATGATATTTTTCATTAAACCCAAATTGTATGTTACCTGGGTTCAGTGCCCCCTTAGCTAAGTTCCAAATTGTCTTTGGCCATTCTAACACTGTATGGGGAGGTATAACAACAGAAGTTGGAGTAGAAAGAAACAGCACTCTTAAGTGACTACAATTAAAACTTGCTACTTTTGCAAATTTTACAAAAACATGTGACTGTTTGAACACATTGCTAGGGTTCCAAAGCTTCATCTGGAGACCTCCATTTACTGCTTACTGGTCAGAGCTGGTTCCCATGGCCTCTAGCTGCAAGGGGGTCTGGAAAGATGTTTTTAAGTAGACACATTTCTGGGCCCACAAAATCAGAGGGCTGTTGGTCAAGAAAGAGAGAATGAGTATTGAGTGGACAGCTAGCAGTGTCTCCTTCAGCTTCCAGGACTTTCTCTGTGTGTATAGATAGACAGATGTATTGTGTGCCTGTATTTTCTTACAAAAATGCATACTGTTTATAACATGCCATAATTGCTTTAAGTGATTTCACCAATACTCAAAAACTAGTACTGAGAAATTTTTTTTACCTAAATTGATATGTGTTGACCATCTTTTGCTACAGAACAAATTGTTGTTGTTATTCAGTCACTCAATCATGTCCAACTCTTTGTGACCCCATGGACTGCAGCACGCCGGGCTTCCCTCTCCTTCACTATCTCCTGGAGTTTGCTCAAACTCCTGTCCATTGAATCAACAGTACCATCCAACCATCTCACCCTCTGCTGCCCTTTTTTTGCCTTCAATCTTTCCCAGTATGAGGGTCTTTTCCAGTGAGTCAGCCCTTCCAATGAATATTCAGAGTTGATTTCCTTTAGGATTGACAGAACAAATTACATTCAGCTAAATCATATGCTGCATTTTGGGGTTTGTGTGTGTGTGTGTGTGTGTGTGTGGTTAAATATGCTCTATTTTTTTTTTTTTTTTTGTAGTAGAACATTTTTTCAGACAGCATCTCCATGTGTAACCCAGATGGATGCTGAGTTCTGTGATGGGTAGGGTGGTTGTTGGGAACCCTTTCCCTTCTCTCCCAGCACCCCCTGAAGCATTTCTGTGGAGCTCAGTATAGACAGATATGCTTTAAGACCTTTCCATCCCCAAAAGGCTCCTTTGCAGCTGAGGCACCCAGAGAAGACCCTGGAGCTCCCCACAAGCACGGGCTGGTGAGGTGAACAGGAGACAAGCCCTCTGGACTCCTCTGAGACACCCAGCACCTAAGGCAGCCATTCTGGGCCCTCACACCAACCCTCTTCACCAGGGACCCTTCCTCAGGCCTTGTGATGATGCACCGGGCGATTCTGCCCACAGGCTGACCCAGTTTCCTCATCCAGTGCATGGGTGCGTGCATGCTAAGTCACTTCAGTTCTCTCTGACTCTTTTCGACCCTCCAGACTGTAGCCCACCAGGCTCTTCTGTCCATGGGATTCTCCAGGCAAGAATACTGGAGTGGGTTGCCATGCCCTCCTCCAGGGGATCTTCCCGACACAGGGATGGAACTTGCATCTCTTATGTCTCCTGCATTGGCCGGCGGGGTCTTTACCAGTAGTGCCACCTGGGAAGCCCCTTCCTCATCCACTGCAGAGGACAAATACCACCCACCTTAGGTCATCTCTTAGGCCTGTGAAGCTTTAGGGAGATGGTGTGGCGGGCGGGGCTTTCCAAAGGTTGAAACACGAGTACGTGCTGTGTTCTCTCTCCTGAGGAAGCAGTTGGACGGGTGACCTGGGAAGGACTGGAGCAGAGAGGAGGCGTGGGCTGGGTGACCCACACGCTCGCCATCGCCCTCTCCCAGCGCTTAAGCCCGAGCCTTCCTCTCCTAGCTCCTGTGGAAGGGCCCAGGTGTCCGACTGGCATAAGGGAGGGGGCGAGAGAGGGCCCAGGGGATCCTAAGGTACCACTGAATTTCGGACTTAAGGAGCCTGCCCTGATGACGGGGACAGCAGGTCAGAAGGGAAAAGGGAGGAGCAGCGGACAGAGGGCAGTGTTAGTGATGGCACGCAGGATAGCCTTCTTTTGCATATTTCACAGGACAAGGGCGATTCTTACTTGGGAAGTTTATGGTCCATCGTTTCCTCCACAAGGGTGGAGGCCTCCCATCTCCTCTCCCCTGCCTTTCTCCCCTTCTCTGTCCCCCACCCCTCACCACCCTGCCCTGCCTGCCCCTCCAGCTGCTGGCTGTCCCCACAGCATAGCTGAGACCTGGTGATTCCCTCCCACTGGAAACTGGGCCTTTTTTCTTCTTCCTACCTCAAATTTAAAAATATATATATAAAGAAACCTGAGCGCTGAAGAATTGATGCTTTTGAACTGTGGTGGTCATACTCCAATACTTTGGCTACCTGATGCGAAGAACTGACTCATTGGAAAAGACCCTAATGCTGGGAAAGATTGAAGCCGGAAGGAGAAGGGGAAGACAGAGATTGAGATGGTTTGATGGCATCACCGACTCAATGGACATGAGTTTGAGTAAACTCTGGGAGTTGGTGATGGGCGGGGAGGCCTGGCATGCTGCAGTCCATGCGGTCGCAAAGAGTTGGACACCACTGAGCGACTGAACTGAACTGAACTGAACCTCAAATACTAGATAAAGCCAAATAACTTTCAAGCAAAAATCAAGAAATCAAAGATGTAACTCCCATTCATATATTTTCTGATTTTTAAAAAATAATTATTTGTTTCTTTGCCTGCGCTGGGTCTTAGTTGTAGCACATGGGATCTTAAGTTGCGGCATGTGAACTCCTAGTTGCATCATGTGGGATCTAGTTCCCTGACTGGGGATTGAACCCAGACTCCCTGCATTGGGAGCACAGAGTCTTAGCCACTGGACCACCATGAAAATCCTTCTGTTTTTTGGTTTTTTTTTTTTTTACATTTTATTTGTAAATAATTATAGATTCACAGGAAGTTGAAAAAGTAGTAGAGAAGTGCTAGACACCCTTCACCCAGCATCCCCAATGGTAACTGTAGCATGTAGGGGGTCGATGTTGGCACAATCCACAGACTTCATTCAGATTTCACCAAAAAAGTGATTTCTTTTTTAAACAAATTTTCTTAATTATTAACATAGCTATGTTACAGAAAATAGAAAAAAATTATTCTTGGTTCACTGTCCTGTGTGGCCACTGTAAGTGTTATTGTTCCTTTCCTTCCAGTCTTTTTGTTTACTTTTAGCATCATTTATGTACCATGTTATAACCTGACTTACAATGTTTTAAATAAACATTTTTCTTCATAACCTAGTCTTTATCCTTGTAAATGGCCATATAATATTTCAAATGAATATGCCACATTTTCCTTCATTGCTCCCCTATTACTAGACAGATTGTTCCAGTTTTACTCTACAGTGATTTTGTAACAAACTGCTTTATTTAACATCTTCCATATTTTGGAGTCTTCCTCTAGGGGCTTTCTTGGTGGCTGAGACGGTAAAGAATCTGCCTGCAGTGCAGGAGACCCAGGTTCTATCCCTGGGTCCGGAAGGTCCCCTGGAGAAGGGAATGAATGGCAACCCACTCCAGTATTCTTGCCTGGAGAATCCCATGGAGAGAGAACCCTGGCAGGCTACAGTCTGTGAGGTCACAAAGAGTCGGACACGACTGAGCAACTAATACTCTAGGGTTTAACACCCAAGGGTATGAACATTTCAATGACTCTTGGTATAAAATGCCAAATAACTTTCCAAAAGCACTGTCTCTAATTTCCATGCCAGTGACATCTTAAACTGTTGCCAGAAGCGGATGGGGTCATTTCTTTAATTGTCATTCATTCAATAATTTAAGAATGATATGGGTTTTTGTAAAGTTGTAGTTTCTAGTTACTTGTAAAGTTGATGATTTTTTTCTTCTCTTGCCTGGTGATACTTTTAATTTTGTGACTTGGCTATTCGAAATCTTTGCCCTATTATCTGTACAGTGTTTTACTTAACTGATTTATAAGAATTCTTTATCTAATGAAAATCTTAACCTTTAATCTGTTAACTGTGCTGCAAATATTTCTTCCCAGTTCATTGTTTTACCTGTTAATTTGGTTTGTCATTCAAATACTGTATATATGGAAATGTTAATTTTTTCTGAAACCAAATCTGTCCATCTTTTTTTTCCCTTCTCACTTTCAAAAGTCAGTATACTCCAGAGATGTGATAAGTTACTAAATTCAACTCTTTTCTTCCCCTTTTTCCATGGTTTGATTTTTTTTTTAATTTATACTGCTAGGTGGTATAATATACAAGTTAAAGGGATTTTTCCTGAAATTTTCTGTTTATCTGAATAATCTGTGTCATGACCCTTCCTCACTTGTTGCAAAGTCTCTTATTCCTATAGATGAATGTATTAAATACAGTGAGAATGTGTGTTCTGCTCTCAGCCAGATGACCTCTCCAGCCCTGTTTCCTCTTTGCTTCCACCAGATCATGACCAACACGGGGAAGGCGAGGCGGAGGGGGGCAGCCGGCATGCAGTGGGCTGGCCCGGAGCCCCTGCGCCGGCCGGTCACCCCCGGCGGCCACAGGACCGGGTACCCAGCGTAAGTCCAGGCTAAAGGAGGCGGGGATTTATTTTCCTAAGCTTTGTTTTGATGAACTGCACCGAAAGATGTACGTATTTAAGAAGTCAAAATAAAACATTCATACTGCAAAGCATTTCTCTCTTCATTATTCATCTTTGGGGGATTTTTTGAAAGGACAGAAGTCAAGTCTCCCTCTTCCCCTCCACGTTTCTCAGGGTCTCCAAGGCACTTGCAGCCTGTATCTAGGAGAAGCCTGGTGTTGGCCAGTGTTGATTCTGAAGGAAAGGACCAGAAAGGGGCAGGGTGTCTACCCAGAGAGGACTCTCAGTCTTTTCTGCAGCCTCTCACCACAGCACCAGGCCCTTTGTTGGGAAGGAGTGTCACAGTTTAAGATGCCACCAGCCTTTTTTTCTAGATGACTTTTTAAAAGAACTATCTGCAGTTTTGGCTGCCAAGCCTTTATTCATTCTTCATAGCCTTGCTCCAACCCTGTTTATATAAACAAATCTAGTCTGGTTACCCAGAGCCTCTGGTCTCCCTGGGAACCCGGGGACCAGACCCCTGGGGACTCCTGGGGAGCCCTAGGCCAGGTAGTCCAGCTTGGGCCTCTTCAGAGGTCTGGGTGACCTCTTCGCCTGTCTAGAGAGAACACTGGAGAGAAACAGATGCACATAAAGGGGATTATGGAGAGCAGGCAAAAACCTACATTTGTTCATGCAACAATTATTGGCCATAAAATATTTCAAACGAATATGACATATTTTGCTTCATTATCTCCTATAGCTGAGCAGTTTGCTTGTTTCCAGGTTTGCTATATAGTCATTTGTAACAGACAACCAGGCACCGGGGCTACGGCAGCAGACAGAATGCAGAAGCACCTACCCTGTTAGATCTGGGTGGATGGATACTAAGGGACACCAGAGACCCTGCACCCAGACCTGGTGGAGTTTGACTACCCGTCCGAGACCTGACCTGTGAATATTTCAGGGCCCGTGCTGTGGATCAGTGCTGAGATCTGTTTGATTTGACTTCACAACTAGTTACCATGTGCTTCATGTTTCAGGGGTTTTATTTTTCATATTAATGTCTAAGCTAATATGCCTTTTTCTCTTTAACCTACAGAAAAGTTGAAAAAATTATTAACAATAAAGAGCTTCCAGCTGTTAGCATTCTGTAATAATTGTGCTCTCTTGCTTACTCACTCTCTTGCTCTCGTTCTGTGCATAAAATATAATTTACACACATACACATTTTATTGTTTTGCTGAATTGTTGAAAGCAGGTGGCATAGTTTCAGCCCACATCTCCAAAGAATAAGAATATCCTTTTATTTAACCACATGAAAGTGAAAGTCAGTCAGTCGTGTCTGACTCTTGGTGACCCCATGGACTATACAGTCCATGAAATTCTCCAGGCCAGAACATTGGAGTGGGTAGCCGTTCCCTTCTCCAGATCTTCCCAACTCACGAATCAAACCGGGGTCTTCTACATTGCAGGTGGATTCTTTACCAGCTGAGAGCTACCAGGGAAGCCCATTATTTTTAACTATATAATCACGCCCTAAAAAGTTAACATTAATTTAAAAATATGAACATATAAATATTCCCTAATTGTCCCCCAAATATCATTTATATCTAAGTTTTGTACTCGACCTTTTGATCCAGACCTTAGCCAAGTATCAACTACGAGTAGATCCAGTTTATAAATATAGTATCTTTTTGAATGGAAGAAGTAAGAGGAACTAATAAAATTCATCTTGTTTGAGATGGGAAAGAGGACACTGAATTATCATTTAAAAAATGTTTTTAAAGTTAACTAAAACCCCAGCTTTACAGAGAGGCAACCATAACTTATGCATATTTAATCAGGAAGGGGGACAAAGATAATCTAATAAATACAAGATCCAACCAATGGGCACAGTGAATTGGGTCAAATGTTTTACCTTATGGAGAGGAAAAAGAGGACATTTTTCCATGCCTGGGGAGCACACATGGCATTCCCCTGACTTGTGGAAGTGTTCCCTGCAAGGAATGAGAGCCCTCATTTTCCTGCAATTACCCGACCATGAGTCGAACCTGTGCCTCCCGCATTGGAAGGGTGGAATCCTAACCACTGGGCCACCAGGGAAGTCCCTGAACCTTCCGATTCTAATGAAGCCTTGCCCCATAACCAACTCCATCCGTTAGGCCAGTTTAACGAACATTTCTAACACTTATGTGTGCCAGTTGCCCAGTTCAATTCAGTTGCTCAGTTGTGTCCAACTCTTTTTCGACCCCGTGGACTGCAGTACGCTCGGCTTCCCTGTCCATCACCAACTCCCAGAGCTTGCTCAAACTCATGTCCATTGAGTCAGTGATACCATCCAACCATCTCATCCTCTGCCGTCCCCTTCTCTTCCCGCCTTTAATTTTTCCCAGCATCAGGGTCTTTTCCAATGAGTCAGTTCTTCAGATCAGGTGGCCAAAGTATTGGAGTTTCAGCTTCAGCATCAGTCCTTTCAATGAATATTCAGGACTGATTTCCTTTAGGAAAGTTGCTAGAGGTGCAAAAATAAACAGTGTGATCCCTGCGCTCAGGAGCACACAGAGCAAGCTACCTAGTAGGGGAGAGAGACAGTAAGTAGGTGATGGCAGAGTGTAGGGGTTCCCCTCAGGCAGGCAGCACAAAGGTAAGACTCAGGATCTTCAGATCGCCTCTTTAAAAAGATTACATGAGTCTCCACTCCCAACCAGTGTCCTCTGATAACCTAGTGATGCCAAATGTGTAAATAAAGCAAGAATCTTAGTGACAATATGCATTACACTCATTCCAGACACTAGTACTTTTGCAGTCAGTAATCCCATTACTAGGGTTTTACACTGAGATAATCAGATATATACATAGATACGCACACAACAGGAGTTACTGAAAAATCATCTAAATGCCCAAAGCAGGAGACTGGTTAAATTATTATCCACACAAAATGTATTGAAAATAACATTTTAGAAGAATATTTAATGCATGGGAAGAGCCTCACAAGACATTACTAAGTGAAAAAGCAAATTATGAAATAGTGTGGATCTAACCTGCTGGCCAAATATAGCAATCCTAAGTTTTGAGTGTGGTTTTTTGGTGGTTTTTGTTTGTTTGTTTGTTTTAGGCATATATTTGCTCTTTTAAAAGAAGATACCAAATAGAAGATATCAAATGTTAATAGGAGTTGTGTCTAGGTATTGGGAGGACAGGGCAATCTGTTTTCTATATATTTTCCTGATTTCTCATAATAAATGCTGGTTTTAAAATCAAGAAAAGAAAGGTTGGGAATAACGACTACAGTCGCCCCTGTGCAGTACAGGACTCTCCATCACCCTGCATCTGACGGCGCCTCCCAGCGCCGTCCCCAAGGCCTGGCCCCAGGCTCCGTGTCTCCTGGGCTCCCTTACCTCTGGCCCTCTGGCCACTTCCTGCGCCATGCTCCTCTCTTTGAAGCCCACATGGTCTGGCAGTAACTTCCTCAAGTTAATGCTGCCAGAGCCACGCCCATGACCTCCCAGACCCTGCTGACCACCCTCCTGGGAGCTCTCGAGCTTCTGCCCCGTGGCCGCTGTGTGCTGGTCCCCCAATGCTCCGCCCTCTTCCTCCTAAAACACTGTGTTGTGCAGGCCCCGTCCTGTGTTAAGGTCTCCATCCCATCCTGCTGGCCCTCTGGTTTCCATTACACACTGCTGATGCCCAAATCTCCCACTCCAGCCCTCTCTTGCCCCCAGTGCTACGTGTGTCCCCACAGCACCCCCAGATCAGTACCTCCCAAATGAAGAGCCCTGTCTTCTGAGCCCCTGTTTCAGGGAATGGAATTAATACTCCCAGACACGGAGCTAGGATCCCACCCCAGGGTGCCCAGCCACCCCTTCTCCTGGCTCGGGCCCCTCCTCTCTGCCCTCCTGAGCCAGCTCCTTCTCCCCAGCTTGGGCGGAGCCTCCAGACCATTCTGTCGGCCACAGTCTGCCCTCCAGGACCACAGACACAGTGATCCTTATAGCACATCATCATGGAATCTTATTTCTGCATCTTCTATTTCCTTTAGTGTATGCATGCTCAGTCACTCCGTCATATCTGACTCTTTGTGACTCCATGGACTATAGCCCACCAGGTTCCTCTGTCCATGGGATTGCCCAGGAAAGAGTACTAGAGCAGGTAACCATTTCCTCCTCCAGGGAGTCTTCCTGACCCCGGGATTAAACCTGTGGTTCCTGCATTGCCAGGCAGATTCTTCACCTCTGAACTACCTGGGAACCCCTATTTCAGGACCAAATCTACTCAAACCCTGGCCAATCAAGTCCTTCTTAATTGACACCATCCATCTCCACCCTCAAAGTCACATGCTCCCCAGGACACTATGTACCCTCCGGCCTGCATTTTTTGTGTGCCCTAAATCTCTCTGTAACAAAGCAATATAAATACATGCTTTCATTTTGCCTCCTCTTGCTACATCTTACTTCATCATGGTGCTACCTTTACTGGGAAATGCTCCCTCTTCGGCCCCCTGGCAAACCCCAGCCCAGAGATCAGAACCGACTGAGTCACACATACACACACACCGAAACACACACACACTGATACATACAACTACATATACACATGTACACACACACACAGAGATACATACATACACATATACACACACACATACATATACACAGGTACATACACACATACATATACACAGAAATACATATACACACATACACAAGCTTTTCTACCTTGCAAGGCAGTTAGGTGTCTGCTTATCTTTGCTGCTGGAACTGACATTCAAGAACAGCCATTTCATGGGGTACCACTCTGGGCAGAGTGGGGACAAGCCTGCCATGGTATGTCCCCACCAAGCCCTTGCTGCAAGCAGGTGGCTTGTGTCTCCTTGTAGATGGGGAGCGAGTACCGTGCTGCTGTGCACACACTGCAGAACCCTCCTGGGATCTGCTGTGAAGGTATCCTGCTTCTCTCTGATGTGCTTGCCCAGGCTACCATCTCTTGCAGGCGCCCAGTGCATGTCTGCTGGGTGGACCAGTCTTCACCGACCCCGGTGGCAGTGTTAGACACTACACACACCATTAGATAGTGTTCCAGAGAACAAGCTCTTCCCCACTCCTGTGCCTAGTAACTCTTGTTGTCAGGGCTATGACACATCCCACCTTTTCTGACTGATGTCATCCCTGCACTAATCTGCTTCATCCTTGGAGGGAAGCCCAGAAGATTGATACTTTAATTGTTTGGTTGAAATGTTATGTTCTTGTGTCATCCAAAGCCAAAAGATCCAACTCTGTGTTAGAAAAATAATAACCATGTTTAAAATGTATAAGAGCTCACATGAGTGAGGCAAAGGGCACTTCCTATTTCTTAAAGACACCCAATATCTGCTAATACTAGCTTAACAAACGGCATTCGGGTGCTTCCACTTCCTGTGTTTGTGATGCTGCACAGTAGTCAGCAGTCAGATATCTCCTGTCTGTATTGATTGCTGCTTTTCATTTTTTCCTCCAGGCTGGAAGATCATCCCAATTCTCCCCAGATGGCCCAGCATGCCAGAAATGGCTGCCTCCCATCCCTGCCAAACACCCATGCTCCAGTCTGCAGGGGGGGCAAACCTGCTGCTCCTGAGCCTTGCCCTTCCTTTTCATGTAAGAAAACTGGCGCATATGGGGGGGGGGGGGGTTGGACACAGCTCCAGAACTGGGGGCAGCTCTGGGACTAGGGGGCAGCTCTGGGACAGGGAACAGCTCTGGGACTAGGGGGGCAGCTCTGGGCCTGGTGATGCCCAGGATGTTATGAAACTGCAGCAGTTCCAAACCCTGGAAGACCTCAGCCTCACACCTGCTCTTGAAAAGCCCTCTGATCGCAACCATTACCCCATGTCACAGAGGCTCACAGGCTTGTGACCCCACAGCCAGACCTGACCATGGACTTTTCCTGCAGACTCCCTTCTCTCAGAGCACTGTGTCCAGTGCTCACCACTGCAAGCTATTTGAGCAAGATTTCTGATGGGGGAAGCCACGTTTAAATGTGAGATTTTGCAGAACTCTCTGAACAATGTAGATCTTTGACCAAAACTCTGGTGCCCCAAACTCTATTGCTGAGGTGGTCAGCCACATGGTAGAAGGCTGAGCTGAGTTAGAAATGTGCGGCCAGGAGCAAAAGCTAGTGTGAGATCCAAACACATTTTTTAAAATAATTTTATTCGTTTATTTTTGGCTGTACTAGGTCTTCCTTCCTGAAAAACCTTCCACAGGTTTTTCTCTAGTTGCGGTGAGTAGAGGCTACTCTCTGATTGCAGTGCACAGGCTTCTCATTGGAGTGGCTTCTCTTGTTGCAGAGCATGGACTCTAGTGCATGCAGTTTTCAGTAGATGCAGCACATGGTTTCAGTAGTTGCGGCTCCCCAACTCTAGTGTGCTTAGTCGAGCAGTTGTGTCCAACTCTTTGAGACCCCAAGTAGCCTGCCAGGCTCTTCTGTCGATGAGGATTCTTCACACAAGAATACTGGATTGGGTTGTCATGCCCTCCTCTAAGGGAGCTTCCCAACCCAGGGTTCGAACCCAGGTCTCCCACAGTGCGGGCGGATTCCTTACCATCTGAGCCACCAGGGCTTCAGAGCACAGGCTTAATGGTTGTGGCACGTGGGCTTAGATTCTCAGGCGTCATGTGGGATCTTCCCGGATCAGAGATCGAACCCATGTCTCCTGCATTGGCAGGCGGATTCTTTACCACTGAGCCACCAGGGAAGCTCTCCAGACACATTTTGAAGCTTCTAGTTGAGCTCACCAGAGACTGATGGGCAATAAAAGTATTTTTTAGATGCTAGAAAAAATATATATGCTTTGAATTAGAAATGTAAAAAGTTTTTTTTTTTAATTTTCAAGAGGAAATTAAAAGGATATGAACAGATCAGATAAGACTCCAATTTCTCCATTCAAATAGGAAAAACAACAAGAAGAGCAGGTCAGATTCCAGTATGAGAAACATCTGTGAGCTTTTCTAACATGCTCGGAATTGGATTCAAATGCTTCTGATCCCTGATTCAGAGCAGTAGACCTGTCACAGAGTTGGAAGAAAACCAGGCTGTTTGGTTACCCTGGAAGAGGGTCTCTTGATTACAGCAGTTTTAGAGGGTGGTTGTTTTTTTTGCCAGCTTTGATCATTTATTATTTTACATGTGTTTTGCTAGAGCTGCAAACATTAATATGCCTTCTTTAAAAGATGGTTAGCTCAATCATTTACCTAGAGATTTCTGCTGCCAGGGTGGAGGTTTTAGGTGGTCTAATGGTTTTTGCCAATTTGACCTAATGCCATTGAGTTAAAAATGATTTCAAATTCTATAGGCCTGGTCTTCCCAGGTGGTGCAGAGGTAAAGAACCTGCCTGCCAACGCAGGAGACACAGGAGATGCAGGTTCAATCCCTGGGTCAGGAAGATGCCCTGAAATAGGAAATAGGAAATGGAATAGGAAATAATCGCTCCAGTATTCTTGCCTGGAAAATCCCATGGACAGTGGAGCCTGGCAGGCTACAGCCCATGGGGTCTCAAAGAGTTGGACATGACTGAGCACAGCACCACTGTTCCAAAGAGTTGCATTTAGGCTAACTTATTTATCAGTAACATCCTTGTTTTACCCAAATTGCCACCAAGGTGACCCTCTGTCTTGCACTGATTCTAAGTGTGGCCTCATCTTTTAGGAAGATTTGTTGTGGTATTACCTGTAGGGTAGAGTCACTGGAGGTTGTCAGGGATGGAGGAAGCTGAGTGGTGGCTGATGTTGCTGGTGATGTAGACATTATTGTTATTTTCAAGAACATTTGCTTTTGACCCTGGCAAATTCTGGTTCCTTGCATGAAAACGGTGGGCACCAACCAGGGCACTCATCCCTGGGATCACCAGCCCTTCCTGGTGATTCTCCCTGGGGAGGCAACAGCTACTCACCTGCCCTTCTAGATGGGCCACCTGGAGCCATGCACCTGCCATGCAGCTACCGCTGCACCGGGAGCTTGCTCTGAACACTGAGGCCATGCTTTTCAGGTCTCATCCTCCACCTCTCGTTCACTCAGGCCTGGCTGGGAGCCCACCTGCTGCCCTCCTGCCTCAGTGGACTCTCCTACACTGACCCCCAGTCCATCCTCACTCCCCCTGCCAGATACCAGGCATATTAATCACTTCCTCCATCCCCAGAGGCTTCCCAGGTATCGCTAGTGGTACCTAGGATCGACCCAGGTTGGATCCCTGGGTCAGGAAGTTACCCTGGAGTAGGAAATGGCAACCCACTCCAGTATTCTTGCCTGGAAAATTCCATGGGCAGAGGAGCCTGGTGGGCTACAGTCCATGGGGTCGCAAAGAATCAGACACAACTGAGCACACACCCACCCCCATGCCTTTTCTCTTCCTCAGGCCAGCACCCTTACTTAGTTATCCTTCAAACTCCTTTTATAGGACAAACGTTCTCCCCTTGAAGAAGCCAAGGGTCCAGCTTATTGGCTTTCCTGGGGTCATTTATTTATTTAAAATGTTTTTTAACTTTTTATTTTGTATTGGGATGGGCTCCCCAGGTGGCACAGTGGTAAAGAATCAGCCTGCCAGTGCAGGAGACACAGGAGATGCAGGTTCCTTCCCTGAGTCAGGAAGATCCCCTGGAGGAGGAAATGGCAACCCACTCAAGTATCCTCGCCTGGAAAATCCCATGGACAAGGGAGCCTGGCAGGCTACAGCTCATGAAGTCACAGAGAGCTTAGCAACTGAGCACATATAGCCAATTAACAAACGATGCTGTGAAAGTTGTAGGGAAACAGCGAGTCATATGTATGACTCAGCCATACATATACACGTGTCCATTCTCCCCCCAACTCCTCTCCCATCCTGGCTGCCGCATAACACCGAGCAGAGTCCCATGTGCTATATAGTAAGTAGGTCCTTGTTGGTTATCCATTTTAATTATATCAGTGTATACATGATCATCCCTAACTCCCTAACTATCCCTTCCCCCTGATCCTTCCCCGCTCCTGGGGTCATTTAATGAGCGTGGATTCCATTTCTGGTGTAGCTTTCTATTCTTCCTTCCTTGCCCAGCGCAACCACCCCAGGCCCTCGCCTCCTCTGTGAGCTTTCCATCCGGTCTGGCCACCGCCTTATCTTCGTCTTTTCACTCAGCCTCCTTGAGGGGACGGTTGCAGATCGGCTTCAGCCAATATGCTCAAATGCTGTGTTGAGGCTAGTTCTGAGGCCGCATCTGGGCTCGGCCGACCAAGCACCACAGTTGAGGGAAGAAGAGGACAGCAGCATGTGGCAGGACCCTCCTAATCCTCACTGTCCCATTTCGTTCGAGAGCTGACCTAACTTCCTCTTGACCTTTCCGCCCATCCAATCCTGCTCCCCCAGCCCTTTCTCCCCAGTCTCTGCACCTTCTCACCTTGTCCCCCCAGCCCGTTCTGGCCTCGCCTGGCCACCAACCCCCCAACAGGTCCCCTCACACATGACCTTCACCCCTGCTGGAAATTAACGGCCCACCGAAGACCCGTGGGGTCCCAGCACCCCAACCCAAACGTCGAGTTTGTTCAGGACGCCCCCCTTCACGGCTGTGCGTTCCGTCAGCACTAAGGCAGGACTTGGAACGAGGAGGCCGTGGGATCCTTACATGGCTCCATGAGTTCTGTGAGGGACCAGAAAGTACATTATTTTTAAGCAAAGGACTCAGCCCCACAGAGCCAAAAGGAAATAGCTCCCAAAGAAAAAAGCCAAGAATGTGACTCAGAATCTTGTATGATATTGGCCTGAGGAAAGTTATTCTCATTTCCTTCCCCATCCACCAAGGCTGGGATATCAAAATCGCATGTCCTGTCAGTGGACCCTGAGGGAAAATGCCAGCCCTGTTTGAAATGGATGAAGAGGTAGAGAAACAGTGGTTTGTCTCAGGAAACTTCAGGTGCACACACACAGCTGCCCTCCTCCTCCCAGCTCCCATATCTTTCAGTGGAGATATATTTTTTTGGCGGGGGGCTGGGGGGAGGTGGTGTCGGGGGCCATAGGGGTTGCTCTGAAAGCCTGCAGTGTGGCCTAAGCAGACAGAGCAGGTGGGGTGGCTAAACTGAGAAGACCTGAGAAGGTCTCCCAAGAGCCCAGCTCAGTTCCTCCTCCCCCCCTACCAGGGGCCTTTGGCACCTGTCCCCCGCCGCCACCTGCCCGGGAAAGCTCATGATCCTGGAGAGCTGCCTACCCCTGGGCGCCATCCTGGAACACTGTTGACCCTCATGGGGTTTTCCATGTGCAGCCCAGCTCTCGTGTGTGGTTCCACTCAACCATTATTTCATACACCCAAATCTGGTCACCTGAGCATTATTATAAGGCCAGTCAGCAGAGAGCACAGACAAGCAGGCCAGTTGTCCACTAAGGAGCAGCTCAGAGAAGGCTGAAATCCTAATTCCAGTCACAGTTCTGGGTGGAGACTGTCCAGTGAGTGAGTGAGTGAAAGTCACTTAGTCGTGTCTGACTCTTTGCGACACCGTGGACTATACAGTCCATGGAATTCTCCAGGCCAGAATACTGGAGTGGGTAGCCTTTCCCTTCTACAGGGGATCTTCCCAACCCAGGGATCGAACCGGGGTCTCCTGCATTGCGTGCGGATTCTTTACCAACCAAACTATCAGAGAAGCCCAGAGACTGTCCAGTGTAGACTGTAAATAAAGCCACCCATGGATTCCGTACCAGAAACAGAGTCCTTGTTTGGGTCAAAAGAGAGTTATCTGGAAGTCAAAGCTGTGCCCCCTTGCCATAGGTTTGAGGCAACCTGCAGGGAGGATTCTTTTTATTTTTAAACCAAAGTATAGTTTTCAATGGACATGGGTTTGGGTGGAGTCAGGAGTTGGTGATGGACAGAGAGGCCTGGTGTGCTGCGGTTCATGGGGTCGCAAAGAGTCAGACATGACTAAGCAACTGAATTAATTAATTAATTAATATTTGAGTTAAAATGCTATGTTAATTTCCACTCTTGCAGCAAAGTGATTCGGTTACCCCTGTATATACATTCTTTTTTCCTATTCTTTTCCATTATGGTTTCTCACAGGATATTGAATATAGTTCCCTATGCTGTGTAGTAGGACCATGTTTATCCATCCTGTGTATAATAGTTTACATCTGCTAATCCCAAGCTCCCAGTTCACCCCTCCCCAATCCCTCTCCCCCTTGTCAGCTGCAAGTCTGTAGCCTATGTCTAGGAGCCTGTTTCTGTTTCATAGAATAGTTCATTTGTGTCATATTTTAGATTCCACATGTCAAGTGGTATCATATGGTATGTGTTTTTCTCTTTCTGACTTACTTCACTCTGTATGATAGTCTCTAGGTCCATCCACATCTCTGCAAATGGTCCAATTTCATCCCTTTTTGTGGCTGAGTAGTATCTCATTGTATACATGTACCACCTCTTTATCCATTCATCTGTTGGTAGACACTTATGTTGTTTCTGTGTCTTGGCTATTGCAAATAATGTTGCTATGAACATAGCGGTGAATGTATCTTTTTGAATTATAGTTTTGTCTGGATATATGCCCAGGAGTGGGATTGCTGGATCATATGGCAACTCTATCTTTAGTTTTTTGAGGAACCTCCATACTGTTTTCCATTGTGGTTGTACCAATTTGCATTCCCACCAACAGTGTAGGAGGGTTCCCTTTTCTCCACACTCTCTCCAGCATCTGTCATTTGTAGACTTTTTGATGATGGCCATTCTGACCAGTGTGAGGTGACACCACACTGCAGTTTTGATTTGCATTTCTCTAATAATTGGTGATGTTGAGCTTTTTGTGTGCCTGTTGACCATCTGAATGTCTTCTTTAGAGAAATGTCTGTTTAGGTAGGAAAGATTATTTAAGATAAAGCTGAGGCCATTGCAAACCTGCTAGAGAGATCCTTTTTTTTTTTTTTAATGAGCTGAAAGGAGCTTGGGTTAAGGGGGTAGTGAATTCAGACTGTCACAGTGTTGCTCTGACAGTGACATGGACCCCTTTGAGCTGGAGAAGGAGGGGTGCATGTCATTTGAAGTACAGAACAGGCCCGTCCCCAGACCCTTGGGAGGGACCCTCAGCAGTGTCATCGAGGACTTCTCCCATCATTCCCTATGATCTGGGGGTGACCCAGGCAGCCTGGTCCTTGCTAGGCGGTATTAGGGAGGTTCCTGCCCTTGTGGGAGGGCAGGGATTCAGGCCTGAAGGATCCGGGACGGCTCAGAGAGCCCCACCTCTGGGCTTGCCAGATTTGGCAAATGAAATCACAGGACACCCAGCTGAAGTTGAATTTCAAACAGACATGAATAGTTTTTCAGTTTGCCTCTGGGCCACTGTGCATCGGTGCCAAGCAGGGGGCCCAGGAGACAATTCCAGGTTTTGTTGGCTTATCCCGAGAGGTGGGGACAGGGGTGGGGAGGGGGCAGGCCACAGGGCTGAGGGTCCAATCTTCCCTGCGTGCGTGTGTTCCAGCCAGAGAGTGCCCACTGCACCCTCAGGTTACAAATACCCGAAGTGGTCGTCTGGAAAGGTCCCAACCTGCACAAGTAAACAAGTCCCCATCCATAGACGCCGGGGAGCTGTGAGGGACTGGCCCCAGGCTGTGTGCTTTTCTTGGCTCCAGGGCCCAGCCCAGTAAAGAGAATCTTCAAAGAGCTTCCAGAGCAGAGGTCAGCTGAGCTCTCTCTCCTGACTCCCCCCAGCCGCCACTGATGCCAAGCCGGGAGACTGGTCGCCAGCAGGACGTCAGGGAGAGCCTCGCCTACCCCCAGCAGGGGCCCCGAGCCAGCCTCGAGGGGGGCCCCAGGCCCCGGAAAGTGGAGACACCACCAGGTAGGCATGGAGCAGTGTCCCGGGAGGGCTCCTGATGATGCCGACCTCTGATGATGGAGGCAAAGGAGCCTTCCGCTGGGGCCCCAAGTGCGGTTCTGAGACCCTCAGGGGAGTATGGTCAGCTCGCCTGACAACCTCAGAGCCCAAGGGGAGGGACCTGCCCTCCTGAGAATCACCAGTCGTCAGGCCGGAAGGAGAGAAAAACTTACAAACACACCCAAGGGGCTCGTTTTAAGAAAACAAAAAGAAACTGCTGGAAAAAAAAAAAAAGAACTGCTGGTTGAACACATTTGGGAGGGCGAGTGATGAGAAGTAATTTGAGGTCAGTGGCCTCTCTTAGCAGTTCGCTTTTGGAGAGGGGGCTGTGGAGGGGAGAAAGGTGAGGAACGAGGTCAGTAAAAGTGTTTGGCTCAGATGTCAGCTTCCTAAAACAGAAACTGGACCCCCAGGAAGAAAAAAAAAAAGTTTTCTGTTCCTCTGTGTCAAATGAGCACACTCACTCAATGGGTGAGGAGGGATTCTTTAGAATTTCGAAAGAATTTTTTTTTTTTTAATGATCTCACAGGCCCCTTCTTTCAGATCTGAGGGAACCTGCTTGGGGGAGGGTCCTGGCCCTGGACTCAGACCCAACCTGTCTCCTGACCGCCGCCCACCACTTCCTCTGGCCCTGCCCCACAGCGCCCTGCAGGCTGAGAGTTTCAAGACAGAGGAACCTCACTCCTGCACTAAAACACAGCTCTAGAGAGTCATGCTGAGCATCATGACGACACCCTTGGAGTCTCTGATTAGAGCAAGTTTGCCATGGTGACTGGTCAGGCCTTCCGTGCCCTACTTTCCCCATAGAACAGGGAGGGACGTCCGTTACTGTGTCTGCAGTGAGCAGGCCCCCACCTCCACTGTGGTCACAGCTGACTTGCAGCTCCTCCAGCAGCGGGGCCCTGTGGAGCTGGGTGAGGCTGTGGGAGGCCTGCATTCTAGGCCCCTCGAGGCCTGAAACCACCCACCCCCTGCAGATGTGGCCCCCATCACAGTGCAGGGGAGTCCGAGAAACCAGCCCACTGGTCCTCCCCGTGGGGAACTTCCTGCCTTCCTGCAGTCTCCCACTGACGGAAACCCCACAGAAACAGGGATTCCTGCCAAGTTCTAGAAGCTGCTGGACACCTTGGAGGGGTCAGGACCCCCCGAGGACAGGCAGAAGGCCTGGCAGGGCTGCAGAGGGGCAGGGAGGTTGCCAAAGCCCACCCCTCTGGGGGCAGGCAGCGACCTTGCACCTTCCTTTCCTGCTTCCGGGGCAGAAGGGCGGCAGGGCTGTGTAGGAATGAGCTGCAAGGACCTTGGGACCTAAACCGGGGAAGGCAGTCCTGGATGTCTCTACGGGGCAGAGAGTGTCAAAGATGGTGAGCCAGAGTTCCACTGTGTGGTCATGTGCTCCATGACTGTCTCCCGCTGTCCTCAAAAACAGGGGCCATGGGTAGGGTGTTTGTCCCCCATGTTCCTGGCGCAGAGCAGGAGCTCGAAATACGCGTTGGATGAATTCCTAGGAGAAAAGAAGAGAGCCTGGCTCTCTGACTTGACAGCTCCACTCTCTCAGGCTGTAAAGGAGGGCAGCCCCTGGCCCCAGAAGATGAGTTGGCTGGGTTGGGCCCTTGCTTGTGGGGAGAAGGAAGGTCCTGAAGCCCTGGGTGTGGGTCGTTGGTAGACAAAATGATAGCCCGCATTGCTTAGCCCTGACTTTGAGGTGGCATAAAGATAATTGCAGCTCCAGTGGCTTCCAACAACTGGTCTTGCTGTGAAATTGGCTTTCTGGAAGCCAGGAGTGAAAAGGTTCAGACTCCACCAGCCCACGGCCTCCCCACGGCCCACAGCTTCCTTTTCCTTTTTCTCTCCACCTCTTACCGTCTTTAGCTTTGAATAGCTGTTAACCGAACTATGAAAATGCTTTTTCAAAGAAGACAAGCATTATCCCAAGGAGAACCAAGGCACTTTCCCAGGGAAATCTGTCAGTCCCAACCTGGAATGGCTGACCGCCCACCCCTCCGCCACCGCCCCCCCCCACCGCCAACCTTGGAATGTACAGGGTTGGTTTCCAGCCATCACCTCCGGGAAGGTGAGGGGCCGGGCTGCCCAGACATGGCCTTGCCCGCCCACTGGCCACCTGCCATCTGTTGGGGCCCTGCTCTGCACGGCATTGGCACGTCATCCACACGGAGATGCCAAGGAGCCCAGCCAGACCAGGAGGGCGTTTGTCTGGACATTCCCTCCGTGTGGCCGAGGGTGGGCGAGGGAGTGGGCTCCTCCAGTCAGAGCTCTCATTGCCCTGCAGACGTCCACCAGTGCCAGCCTGAGATGGGAAGCACACTGTCAAAATTCCTGCCCAGCCACAAGTATTGTGGCTTTTAAAAAATAAGGAACGAGATTTTATGTATGTCTGTGGTTGTTGTTTAGTGTTGTGTCCGACTCTTTGTGACCCCATGGTCTGGGGTAACCCTCCAGGTTCCTCTATCCATGGCATTTTCCAAGCAAGAATACTGGAGTGGGTTGTCATTTCCTTCTTCAGGGGACTTTCCCAACCCGGGGATCAAACTCGAATCTCCTGCATTGCAGGCAGATTCTTGACCACTTAGCCACCAGGGAAGCCCTTACATATACGTCCCATATATGCTTTTCCCTCCTTACATTTGTTCCCAAAGGATATATGACAGCATTGAGCTAAAAGAAACTACAGGCTAAGAACCAGGAGGTCAGGGTAATTGGGGTAGCCTGACTATTTATACAGACATGTGTGCACCCTCACCAAACATCCATGTGTGAAATTTGTCTTCGTCCGGCATGCTCTCTCCCCAGCCCCGCTTCTCCTCCCTGGACTTTGTTGCAGTCCAGATGAAATTCCACAGCAATGACCAAGTTAGAAACTAGTTAGGAACTTTGATGAGCAGAGTCCACTTAGACAAGCCCTAAGCGCTTTGATTCGTATCTTAATGCAGGCAGTATCTCCCTCCGAAGAAATGAAGGGACACAGGGATGTTCTGCCGTGGGAATCTCAGCTCTGGGATTATGACTCAGCAGCATTCCAAACACAAGTAAAGATTAAATATCTCCAGAAGCTTTTTATTGTGACTCCCTTGTAACACAATGTTCCTATTGACGAGCAGAGATCATAGAAGCCGCCCAGGCTTCTCTGATACGTAACCGCCTACCTTGCGGGGCACTTCCCAGTTTACCAATATATCGATCGACCTTCACCCTTTTCTAGGACCCAGCACCGTGTGTTCCTGCAGCCAAACACATCTTCCTGAGTCAGAGGCGACAGCCATCCATGTGCGCTTCCCATGTGCTCTTTCTGCTCTGCCCTAATCTGGCTGCATCCCCGGCCAGACCATCGCCATTTCCTGGCTCTGGCTCCTGGCTGCCTAGACTAATAAGCTCACACCATTCAGGGGCTTGAGAGGGCTGGGGGGCCGCACAGGGGCCAAGCTGACCCTTCTGACAGCCATCCCTCCCTGCCTCCCGCAGCGTCCTCTCCAGGGGGCCCGGAACTCACCACCCCCCAGAGTTCAGCGACAGTGCCCAGCACCCTCAGTCAACACAGCCACCTCCTGCAGACGCCCAGGTGGGGACCCCATGGAGGGGAGGGGTCTGCCAAGTCGAAGGGGTGGTTCCCTGGTGTCTGCCAAGGGCCACTTTCCCCAGTGCCAGAGGGAGGCACCAGCCAGAGGGAGGTCTGTCTGAGATGTTCTTTCATAGCGACAACATGACCCTGGTCAAACAAAGGTCATGTCCCAGGGCCAAGAGGAGGCCCTTTCTTAGGTGTATTAGTCAGGATTCTCCAGAGAAACAGAGCCAACAGGAAGTGTGTGTGGAGAGAGATTTAATTAAGGAATTGACTCACGTGGCCGCAGAGGCAAGTCCAGAACCCAAGAGCGAGTGGATGGGGCACACTCGCTTTCTGGAAGGCAAGCTGCTTTACTTAGCGTCCCCTCCGTGGAATGTCTGCCTTGTCCAGAGACACCTGCACAGAAATATGCAGAGAGTGTTTGGTCAGATACCTGGGCGCCACGGTCCCACGACACTGCCACGTAAAATTAACCTGCACGTAGGCTTTTCAGTGTCCATGTGGCTCTCCAAAGGGATGGGGCCCTCTCCTGGGTGCCATGGGTAGGGAGGTTAGTAGATCCCCAGCTCTGCCGCCCTGACTGTTCTCTCCCTTCACTGCTTTTTTTCATCTCTTTATGTATTTATTCAGTCGTGCTTTGTCCTAGTTGCAGCACGTGGGATCTTTCATTGCAGTGTGCGGGCTTCTCTCTAGTCATGGCCCACGGGCTTAGCTGCCCTGAAACATGTAGAATCTTCCTGGACCAGGGATCGAACCCATTTTCCCTGCATTGGCAGGCAAATTCTTAACCACTGGGCCCCCAGGAGAATCCCCCCGCTTCACTTCTTGCCAACTCACCTCAGCTATCCCTGAGACTCTGCAACTTGACCTTGCTGCCCATTGACTCTCAGGCCCCACAGGGTGAAGTGGGCCAAGCCGTCCTGAACCTGCACAGCTAACTCCTCCAAATCTGGCCCCCTTGTGTGAGAGGACATCCCCAGGTAACCCACGGCTGACTCTCTGCCATTACCACTGCCAGGAACAGCCCCAGGGCTCACCTCAGGAGTGTCTACCAGGGTCTCTCAATTGTTCCTTCTTAAAGTGTAATGGATCATCAGAAAAGCAAGAGAATTCCAGAAAAACATGTATTTCTGCTTTATTGACTATGCTAAAGCCTTTGACTGTGTGGATCGCAATAAACTGTGGAAAATTCTGAAAGAGATGGGAATACCAGACCACCTGGCCTGCCTCTTGAGAAACCTGTATGCAGGGCAGGAAGCAACAGTTAGAACTGACATGGAACAACAGACTGGCTCCAAATAAGAAAAGGAGCACGTCAAGGCTGTATATTGTCACCCTGATTATTCAACTTATATGCAGAGTATATCATGAGAAACGCTGGGCTGGAAGAAGCACAAGCTGGAATCAAGATTGCTGGGAGAAATATCAATAACCTCAGATATACAGATGACACCACCCTTATGGCAGAAAGTGAAGAAGAACTAAAGAGCCTCTTGATGAAAGTGAAAGAGGAGAGTGAAAAAGTTGGCTTACAACTCAACATTCAGAAAACTAAGATCGTGGCATCTGGTGCCATCACTTCATGGCAAATAGATGGGGAAACAGTGGAAACAGTGCCTGACTTTATTTTGAGGGGCTCCAAAATCACTGCAGATGGCGATTACAGCCATGAAATTAAAAGACACTTACTCCTTGGAAAGAAAGTTATGACCAACCTAGACAGCATGTTAAAAAGCAGAGACATTACTTTGTCAACTAAAGGTCCATCTAGTCAAGGCTATGGTTTCTCCAGTAGTCATGTGTGGATGTGAGAATTGGACTATAAAGAAGGCTGAGCACTGAAGAATTGATGCTTTTGGACTGTGGTGTTAGAGAAGACTCTTGAGAGTCCCTTGGACTGCAAGGAGGTCCAACCAGTCCATCCTAAAGGAGATCAGTCCTGGGTGTTCATTGGTAGAACTGACGTTAAAGCTGAAACTTTGTCCACATGATGCAAAGAGCTGACTCATTTGAAAAGACCCTGATGCTGGGAGGGATTGAGGGTAGGAGGAGAAGGGGACGACAGAGGATGAGATGGTTGGATGGCGTCACTGACTCAATGGACATGGGTTTGGGTGAACTCCGGGAGTTGGTGATGGACAGGGAGGCCTGGCATGCTGTGGTTCACGGGGTCGGAAAGAGTCAGACACGACTGAGCAACTGAACTGAACTGAACTGAAAGTGTAATGGGGCTGCATTTTAAAACAATAAAGATTTTATGTTATTTGTATTTTACCACCATAACAATGATAACAAATTTCAACATTAGGGAGTTCCCTGGAGGTCTAGTGGTTAGGATTCTGGGCTTTCACTGCTGTAGTCTGGGTTCAGTTCCTGGACAGAGAACTGAGATCCTGTAAGCCATGCGGCACAGCCAAAAAAACAAAGAAAAGAATATATATCTCAAAACTAGAAAAGCTTCATTGTATGTGTCAGAAAAGTGTCAGCAATGCATGCCTGTTTTCACACACTTACAGTCAGATTTACATGCTGCTCTGTATCGCTCACTTCGGCTTCCCTTGTGGCTCAGCTGGTAAAGAACCCACCTGCAATTCAGGAGACCTGGGTTCAATCCCTGGTTTGGAAAGATCCCCTGGAGAAGGGAAAGGCTACCCACTCCAGTATTCTGGCCTGGAGAACCATGGTCACAAAGAGTCGGACACAACTGAGCCACTTTCACTTTCACTTTCTGTATCGCTCCAAGGGCTTCCAAGGTGGCTGCGTGGTAAAGAATCCTCCTGCCAATGCCGGAGATGTGGGTTAGATCCCTGGGTCAGAAAGATCCCCTGGAGGAAGAAACAGCAACCTATTCCAGTATTCTTGCCTGGTATATCCCGTGGACAGGGGAGCCTGGCGGACTACTGGGAGCCATGCGTCCATGGGGTCGCAGAGTCAGACAGGGCTTAGCAACTGAGCACGCTGTATTGCTCTGGAATTTTTGGGTGTGTGTTTGTGTGTTTCCTTTGTTTTTAATTTATTTTTAATTGCAGGATAATTGCTTTACATTGGTGTGTTAGTCTCTGCTGTACAACAATGTGAATCAGCTCCAAGTATGCATATGTCTCCTCTCTCTTGACCCTCCCTCCCACCACCCATCTCACCCCTCTAGGTTGTCACAGAGCACCAAGTTGAGCTCGCTATATTATACAGCAGCTTTATTCCTCTGTTCTGAGCCTCACTCCATTCACTCTCACGTGCCTGAGTAGCCCCTACAGTTATTTATGATGATTGCATACTCTTTCATCTGGTCAATATACCCTAACTTTTTACATGTCTTTCATTCACTGATAATGTATGTGGGTGTGTGCTCAGGGTCGGAAAGATCACCTGGAGGAAGAATGGTAACCCACTCCAGTGTTCTTGACTGGAGAATCCCATGGACAGAGGAGCCTGGCGGGCTATAGTCCGTGGGGTTGCAAAGCTTCAGACACAACTGAAGCAGCTTAGCACATGTGTGTTCAGAACTGCTGGACAGTGGATATCAAAGATGGACTAGACCAAATTGCTGCTCTGAGGCAGTTCACCTGGAAGGACAGTGTTATACATGACATGAAAATAAATTTGCTTTTTAAAGAAAAAGAAATTAAAATTTAAAAATTGTAAAAAAAAAAATTGTAAGAGGGCTAAATCTCTATCCTTTCAACCAGGCATGAAAGATCTCTTGTCTAAAGTACAGGCAGTTTTTTACACCAGTCTTTTTCTAAATTCGAATTTGGAGACTTTTCAAATATTTAAGTTTTATTTTTCTGATTATTAAAGTAATAGATTCTCAATGTAAGAAAAAAAAGTGGGGGTGGGGAGGCATAATGAAATGAATCAAAAAATTATGCAGTTGCCTCCCGAGTCTCACTCCCCAGAACCATCACCCCAGTTCACAGGACGCTTTACCACAGCTGGGCCCAGGGACATCACCTCACTGAACCTTCAGAGCTGTCCTACAGAAGCCATTTCACAGATGGGGAAACTGAGGCTCCCGAGATGTCAGCAGATTGCTCACTTTCCCTCATCCGCTAGAAAGCAACAGAGCAAGACTGAGAATCCAGGCCATTCCAGGGCCCCCACCCTCCTCCCTGCCACCAGATCCTTCACTTCCCACAGCCCTCAGCTTTAGCCCCCAGCACGGTATACACACACACACACACACACACACACACTGCCCACTGGGTGCCCTGCAGCCGGTCAGCATCTCTCTGTCCTGGGGGTGCGGTGGGGAGACCACCCCCTTACTAGCCAAGCTCACAATGTCTGCTCTGCACTCACGGTGTGCAACCTGCAGACCAAGACACCCACCTACCGAAAGGAGGTCAGGCTAGGAGCCCCTGCTGCCTGCCGGGAGCTGAGCTGGCGCTTATATCAGTTCAGTCAGTGGTGACCACAGCCCTAGGTGACAGCCCCTGGGACTCCAGTCTTCAGAGCTAGGTGTCAGAAAAATGGACACATAGATAGAAAAGGCCGCGGAAGTCGAGCAATCTCTGGAAGATGGTGGAAGACAGAGGAATCTGGTGTGCTACCGTCCATGGGGTCACAGAGTCTGACACAACTGAGCGACGGAACAACAATAGCAACAGAAGTCGAGATGGGAATAAAAGTTGAGCTTGTTTATACCTCAGTGACAGCCAGGGAGCAAAGGGCTGGGTGGGGGAATCACATCCCCAGCCCCAGCTGCGGTGGCTCGGGCGCTGGTGGGAAGGAGGAAACAGGCTCTAAGACGTGGCCTCTTGTCTCTGTAAAGCCGACCCACTGGGCTGGGGTCCTGAGAGCATCTGGAGAATGGCTGGCTATAAGATCCCACCAGGTTCACTGCCTGCTTGTTATGTGTATAAACTTGGGAAACTTGACCAACTTGGAGCCTCAATTTTGACATCTGAAAAATAGGGTAGTAATGCCTGCTTCGCAGGATTGTTTGGGGGCTCAATGTCATCTTCTCATTGCAGCCTTCCCTGGTCACCCCATCTAAAGTCAGCTTCCAATTGCTGCTGTGATAAACTTCCAATTGCACAAATTTAGCCACTAAATAAGCACGGATTTATTATTTTCCAGTTCTGTAAATTAGAAGTCCCACATGAGTCTTCATGGTCTGGAATCAAGGTGTCCACAGGACAGGTTACACCCTGGAGGTCTGGGGAAGAATCTCTTTTCTATCCCTTCTGGCTTCGAGAAGCCTCCTGCCCTCCTGGTCTTGTGGCCCCTTCCTGCATGCGTATGCGAAGTCGCTTCAGTTGTGTCTGACTCTTTGTGACCCTATGGACTGCAGCCCGCCAGGCTCCCCTGTCTAATGGGACTCTCCAGGCAAGAGTAACAGAGTGGGTTGCCATGCCCACCTCCAGGGGATCTTCCCGAACCAGGGACCAAACCAGCGTCTTTTACGTCTCCTGTATTGGCAGGCGGGTTCTTTACCAACAGCACCACCTGAAAAAGCCTCGTGGCCCCTTCCTCCATCCTCAAAGCCACTGGCATTGCATCTGTATCTTTTTTTCCACAGCCTCTATTTCTCTTTCTTCCTCTGCCTCTCTCCCACTCTTAAGGACGCTTGTGATTACAGATATCCCAGTAATCTAGGAAAACCTCACACGTGCAGCCTTGATTTCCTGTTGTCATGTAGGGTTCCAGAGACTTGGATATGGAACTAACTGGAGCCAGACACACCTTTCCTGGCCACTCAATCTGACACTGTAATACTCTCTTAGGTTCCCTATTCTGCTCCCTTGCTTCATCGCCTCTCTCATCATCTCCCTTGCCCCCTGGCATCTCTTAGAGACAGAGGGGGAGTCTTTCCTTCTTCCTTCTGTGACTTTAGGTTGGATGTTTTGTTCCAGGGGATTCACATCAAGCTTCGCCTGCAAGCCCCGGGCCCCCCGCACCCTGGAGATCCTGGACATGAACCCACCTAAGGTCAAGGCGTCGGCTCTGGGCCCTCAGTTCTCCTTGTGTGGCCCCCAGCAGGCCAGCCGTCCCAGTTCCACGACGACTTCCACAAGGAGCCTGCAGAGTAAGTCAACCTGCATGGGAGGGCACTGGGCTTCCCCATCTGACTCGTGCTCCTTCCGTGGCCACCAGACCAAGGGGAAAGGCCCACCTCTCCTCCCCACCTCTCCTCCCCACAAGACCAGGGCCCTGGCTGCCCGCTTTCTTTGCCTCAGGGACCTGTTCTTCACTCATCTTTCTGTTTAAGAAATTGCCCTTGGCCTCAGCGGGTCATGGGCTTCTCTGGTGGGTCAGCTGGTAAAGCATCCGCCTACAATGCAGGAGACCTGGGTTCCATCCCTGGGTTGGGAAGATCCCCTGGAGAAGGGAACGGCTACTCACTCCAGTAATCTGGCCTGGAGAATTCCATGGACAGGATAGTCTATGGGATCACAAAGAGTCGGACACGACTGAGCGACTTTCACACTTCAGCGGCTCATGCACAAGCCGGCGGAGTGAGACCCTTCCAAACAGTCACTCAGGGATAAGATCCCCCTGCCCGGGGGCTTACAGGTTAGCCTGAAACCAGAATCGACCTTCTGGTGGGAAACAGAAGCAGGTACTTCCTCGCAGGCTGGGTGGAGAGGCCCCCCCAAGGGCCTGAGGGTGGGCTGGGCCCTAGGGAACCCGCTCTGTCCCTGGGACCACCCTCCCACTCTTTTGCTCCTGATAAAAACCACTTCTCTGTCACCTCCCAGTCAACCAGTTGACCACACATACCCCCCTTTCACTCCCCAACCCAAGCCTGGAACTTTCTAATAGGGCTTTACTAAAAATAAGGGAAAGCAAAAGAGAAACCGAACAAAAGGACGTCGAGAGGCAGAAAATCAGTCACACTCAGGATGTGTGAGTTCTGTGACCTGGCCGCCCGCTCCTTCCTGACAGGGCCCTGGGCGCTCTGGCCAACCGGGGAGCGTTGGGCTGGGTCCGTGGTTCATGGGCCAAGTCTGGGCAGCCCGTGGGGGGTAGGCAGGCCTCCGCCTGCTCTCAGCACCTCTCTGCTGGGAAACTCACAGCGGAGCCCTGGCCCCATCTCCCCACCACAGTGCTTCTGCACACGGGCCCAGAGGAAACGCCAGCAAGTACAGGGAGAGAGCGGCCAGAAGCGAGGCAGGCCGGCTTCCCCAGGGCTCTGCCCGACCGCCAGGCTGGACGCCCCCTCTAAAGTAACTGCAGTAGCAGCGCCCAGGAACAGGCGGGCTGCCCGGCTGGCTGGCCGCACAGGGTGGGGAGCCGCTGATACACACCCCCTCGGCCTCCACAAACACAGGAGATGCTGGCAGCGAGGCTCACCGAGTCCCCACACCAAGCTTCCTGTCAGGAAAATGCATGGCCACCCCAGTGAGTCAGGCCCTCCCGGCCACAGAGCAGGTGACCCGGGAGGAAGGCGCTCTGCGTTCGGTTTGCTCCGGGCCCATTGAAAGGAGGGCTTGTGCGGGGACAGAGAGGGGCTCTGTGCCCACGCCCACCCTGGCGCTGGCAGCTTGCCTGGCTTTTCTTCTCCAGGCAGCCCGTCTTCCAGGAAGTGAGGATGGGTTCTTCCCCGAGGTCACCATCCCTTTGCCCAGTGACCAGCCCACTTCCTGCTCTCGGCCAGCCGGCAGCTGCAGATGACAGATGTGACGAGACGGTTGTCGTCACGCCACCAGGTTACTCGAGGAGCTGAGGAGGACAGCCCTCCAGGAGTCCGGGAGTAGGCTCACCGTAGCCCCTGCCTCAGGGTCCTGCCACTGCCCTTCCTGCCCACCCTCCCCGCCGGCACCCAGCTTGGGGGTGGGGGCAGTGGGGGACAGCAGAGCCAAAGCCAGGAGCTCGTCCATCTCAGGGAGCCAGGGCCAGACAGCTCAGCCAGAGGCAGGCCCTCGACCTTGGAGGAAACCAGTCCTCCTCACCCAGACCAAGCATGAGGAAATAGAAGGGGGTTAGAATAAGGGAAAGTCCTTCTCAAATTGGCTGCCTGAGCGGCAAACTTTGGATTTTCTTCCTGGTAAGAGTATGGGGTGTTCCCCTCTGTGGCTGGAATACGGCTGTTCCAAAGCGGCCCTGTGCTTCTTCCTATGTGTTCTAAGGGCTCAGAGCATTGACCAGTTTAAAGCCATTTCCCTCCCTCCATCCGTTAAGACCACAAGCTGAAACTGTGCCCCCGGCAGGGTGACTGGTCCCCACTGGGGGAGGCCCGTTGCTCCCTCCTTGCCAAGGGTGACATCAGGGCCACATCCTAGTGTTGGGCCACATCCTAGTGTTGGGGCCCATGTGAGGAAAGCAGGAGAGACTCCATCTTGAAGCCTGTCATCCATCTTAAATACAGGATGTGAACTGGGCCTGAATCCAAGCCCAGGAGTGAGGAAATGGTCGCTAGTGAAAACCAGGTCTCCTGGAGACTTCCCTCCTTACAGATGGCAAACAGACATTGTAGCTGAAGTCAGGCTGCCCCTGTTAGATTAACCATGGAGACATCCCCTCTTGATGTATAATCATTGTCCCCCGCCCTCCCTCCTTTCACCTTAATTGTTTGTTTTCCTAGCACCTACTTGTTGTAAAACTCAATCACATGCAACAGAGAGGTTGCTAACACGTAACCAGTCACGTAGTGGGGGGTATAAAACTGGGCCTCTCAGAAACATCAGGGTCCTTGTTGGGAACCGATTCCCCCTTGGACCTGCTGGCGTAATAAACTGTACTCCACTGTCTTAAGTGTCCTCCAAGGTGTGTTTTGCAACTCTGGATTCCACAACACTGGGACAGAGAAAGAACCTTCACCTGCAGAGTCAGCACTGTTACCCAAACCTGTAGCAGGGGCTGACCTTGCCTAAAACAGAAATACTGAAATAAAATGATCAGTATTGAGATGGCACTTGTGTATGTGACTCTGTATGAGTTTGTGTGTGTGTGTGTGTGTGTGTGTGTGTGTGCACGCACGCTGTCCCCCGGGCAGCCCATCTGCCCTGGCCAGACCTATTGGGAATCATCTTGGTGGTCCCACTGGACATAAATAAAGGACAATGCTGTGCTTTTCAATATCCTCCCGACTCCTGAGGAGAGCAGGCAGAAGAGGTAAACAGAACACTGGAGCAGGCAAGAGGCCAGGTTAGCCCTGTGATGACCGTAGACACATCATGAGCCGGACCCTGGGTTAATTTCACAAGTTCTTGGCAGTGGTGCCAGGGTGGACACGTTAGAACTCTGTGGTTACATGACTAGCCCATCTTGATCCTCTGGAAATATGTGAGCACCTCTCTGTTCCGGGGGGAAGAAGGCGGTACAGAACACTGCCCTCCAGCCCCTCCGAACTTCTGGCTTGATCTCTGGAGGGATAAAGAGAAAACGCGAATGCTTCTCTCGGTGTTGTGGATAATGGATCAGCAGGAGAAGCGGAGACTGGGTCCCTGAAATGGAAGCGCTCCTGGAGAAACCCTGAAAAGGCAGAGAGTATTTGCAGATGAACATCAGAGGAGCATCATGGGAAAATCTCTCCCTTTCTCCCAGCAAATCCACTCCCTTCGGATTCCTCACATGCCGCCAACTGACACAGCCTGGCCCTGCCTTGGCGAGAAAGCAACCCCATCTCCAGATTCCAGAGGGAGTGGGTGACTCATCCGTTATTGCCCACGGTCTCCCTGAAGCCAGGGTGACTTTTGTTTCTCCCTCAGGCCCCCGGATGAGCTCAAGTCTGATTTGGAGATGTCTGGCCACTTAGAGTAAAAAAAAATGTGGACAGACTGCACTGAGGTCACCAGGTGTGGTCTGGATGGTTCTCCAGGGAGTAAATATGGCCTCAGGGAGAGCCCTCTTGCAGACACACACTTCTGCATCCCAGGGCTGATGATGCAAAGAGACTTTAGAAAATACCAACTAGCATAAATATTTCAGCTATGTGTAGGCTTAATGGGGAGCTGAATACAACCACAGTCTAAGGTGGGAGAGGGGCAGGAATCAAATACACAAATAAACCGAAACGTTTTCACAGGTCATCTAGAGACGGAATCCTATAGCTCCTAGGTTTTGCCCATGACACCTACCCAAGGAGGCCACAGAGAGGAGTCTGTGGGACTTTGAAGAAATGGGGACCTTTAGGGAGAGCCCTTCTGCCCCTGGAAGCTGACCCTAGCTCTCTGGTTACCTGGCCCTCTGATTTCTCCTGAGTAGGACTTGATCTTCATTCACAAAAGGATGTAAATGTCTGGCAACAGCCTAAATGATGACCCTTTGGTGGGACTGTAATAATCAGGTAGAGATTTGAGATCCAGTTAGATAAAAGGGCTCACTCAGTATGTTGGAAAGGACTTGGCCCAAATCAAAGGAGCTTAAAAAAAAAAAAGCACAAATAAATAAGATTAACACAAAAAATCCATGACAAAGTCTCAAACTTTTAATATGAACAGGATCTGAGCCTGTGTTTCTGTGACCCTTATGCTGCTTGCAGAACCTTGATCCAGCACCGATTCCAATAAAGCTTTATTTACAAAAACAGGCAGCCAGCCCATGAGCCATAGTTTGCTGAACTGCATGAAAATGTTATTGAGTTTCAGGGCACCCCTTCTGTTTTGCATGCAAGGTGAAGCCGCACTGGCCTCACCTGGGATCTGGAGGTGGGGTATCCTCCAGGGCTTCCCAGGGTGCTCATAGCATAGCCTTGTGGCCAAGGCCTGCCTGTCTGACCATTTTCAGCTCTCCAGAGACTAGTTGTCCTAAGGAGCAATGCAGCTCACCTTTATACGAAAAAGCTACCCCCAAAACTTAATGGCTTAAAACAACCAATTTATGGGACTTCCCTGGGCTTCCCAGGTGGCACGAATGGTAAAGACCCCACCTGCCAATGCAGGAGACATAAGAGACGCAGGTTCAATTCCTGGGTAGGGAAGATCCCCTGGAGGAGGGCATGGCAACCCACTCCAGTATTCATCTCTGGAGAATCCCATGGACAGAGGAGCCTGGTGGGCTAAGGTCCGTAATGTTGCAAATTGTCAGACATGACTAAAGCGATGCACTGGTAGTGCAGTGGCTAAGACTCCGAGCTCTCAATGC